CCCATTAGTTCTAGTTACCCGTTCTAGCGAAAAGATCAACGTTAGATTCATATCCATACCATCACCAATGGTTACATAAGGAAAACTGTGACATATTGTCGATATCCGTAATTCAATTTAGCCCATAACCAGCGCAAGACAGGTAACAATCAACTAAACGTGTCTTTTTCTAATATTTCAAATCCGGTTTTATTTGCCTTCTATCAATGCCAGACTACAAATCGTCAATACTGGGTATGTTCAGTCGTATAAGGTAGAATTCCGTGTCACTCTTTGCATCGTGAGAGAGTTTGTATAGTGTGAAGATTGTTTTAAAAATCGTATATATCTTTCAGTAAAATTTCAGCACGATGTCGCGTTTATAATTAGTTTAGCTATATGCATTCGTGAATTAATGGATTATGAGTTCTTCCGAAATCATTGAAAAATAAATCAAAATGAATAAAAATAGATAGATAAATAAATGATTGTTCAGTACCATTGTCAATGAAGTATCATATCTGTTCCCGATCTCTGCATTATGAAAAGGTTCTATTCACTTGCGTGTCTTTTGTACAATCTCTAACACATTTCCTTGTTCAGATCCACTGCCACTATTCTAGTTAATACATTAATTCCTGAATATGATTATATTTCAGAAAAATGTAAATCATTATTGTATAATGTGTAATACCGAATGTGACCCCTGTTTAAAGGTTTTAATGCTACGGTATATCATATATTGTGTATTGGGTGTTCTGTGCTGCGTTTGACACCCCAACGCAATGGTTTTTTTTCTTTGATATATGTAATTAATGATCCCACACAGGGCATTCAGAAATAAGATGATATCGTAAATCTGGTCAATGGGAGGCCCCGCCGCATGAGATACATGTCTGAGACATTTCATTATAAGTACAATACATATCAATCACTACCACCCGTTGTGATATTCATTTACAAGTTATAGTAGGGGTTTACAGATGCATGGCATGCATTACCGTAAATCTTATATAAAAAATATGATAGATTACGATGGAGAAGGAGAAACATTTAAAAAGAAGAAAAATATTGTTGACATTAATATATCTATCGAGCGCTATTCAATGCAAGATTGTACATGTATCTATCAATAGTGTTATCATCATCACCAGGATAGACAGGATTGTTTCAAAGACCTCAAGTACTTTAGAACTGTAACTTTGACATGAATAATGTAACATCGTTAAAATATATCTTTACTGAGAATGAAGCATATGTTACGTGCAGAGATAATGGTGATTACTGACACAAATGCTACACATAGAAAAAACGTTTTAAAGTGATGATAAAAAAAACATTAACAACAACAACCCCCCCCCCCCCAAAAAAAAAAAAAAAAAAACAAACAAAAAACAAACAAAAAAAAACATAATCATTATCCATACTCAAATTTAACAAAACTAGGGCAAAATATAACGAAAAGAAAGATTTGAATGAATTTGCAAGGTAAAATAGACAAGATAAAATATATATCATTTATACTTATGTCATTTAGTCAATATCTATAAAGAGGTCAATTCTTACCAATGTCTTCAGAAAATGTCTTATGGTGGTAAACACACATGGCCTGTTCTAAAATACTATAGATGTCAGTACATGTCAGGTTTCGGTTTTCCGAGTTTGAATAAATACAACGACACCTTTTTTCTACTGATTGTCGTAAATTTATCTTAATTTGACAATATATCAAACCTCATTAGTTTTTAAATGAGAATTATTCTTTCATCGCATATCTGTGACGTCAAAATCTGGTTGACATCTTATCTTTAAAATGTATTGTACTTTGATCTGTAGATTTAAATAGAAATAATTGACACTCATTTAATAGATATACTTGTAACCTTGATTAAAGAACAGCTTAATACACTGATTGATATTGATTAACTGTTAATTAGACAACGGTAGTCATTTCCATAAATCCAAAGTTAGATCAGTATATATAAATACGGTACGTAGTTAAATATATGGCGACAGATATCGGCTTACTGGGGGATCTCTATTCTAAATAATTGCACAACAATACCTTGTATAAACATATACCTTATAAAATTGGATTCATTTAATCATGAACACACTTCAAAGGGCATGACATTGTTTAACGTATGTTGGCAAGTTATATCTTTTTATTGGGCATAATCCATTTTAATGTTTGACAGCGTTTTCTCATGGTTCCAGAAAGTATACGTCCTAGGAATGATATAACATAGTGGTGTTTAATCATTCAGAAAAGAAGTCAAAGTATTGTGAAAGCTGTGTACTGGTAACATAACGATTTTTTTGTGAATCATTAATTGAAATGCTTTCATATGTGATTCGGGAGATTTAAATCTAGCAGGCGAAAGATACTATTTATTGTATTTATACAACGTTATAAAATATATTTATACAATGCCTGGATATTGATTTGAGATATACAGAAACATTGCTACAGTGGTATTTATCCTGTATTATGATATTCTATATCTATAATGAATCTGTAAAAGCATTTTTAAGAAAAAGAAATGATGAAGTACGTTGGCTGTCCTGTTGACCTACATTCATAATGGACAGTTGGCATTCTTGTAACTAAATATGAAAAAAATATATTCTTAAATTGATTGTTTGCCAACCCGTTATGTGATCGCTAAACGGCCTATGTTGGCAGCCACCGATGGATACCAAAACTTTATAAAATATTTAAACAGTTACAAGGATAATGACTTCATTAAGAACACAGCGGAGCTAGTTTTAACTACTTGGATTCATTATCTTCGTTGAATGGAAAATGTTTTCCCTTTTATACGGATTTTAATAAGGATATTCATACTGCATTTTACTTACGCCCATTATTGTGAGAAGTTCATCACCTTAACGATGGAACAACCTAACCAGGAGATGTAATTGATTTCGAAAAACTTACACAATATATGAAAACAAATACTGCTACGCCTCCTCATGGAATTGGTATGGCAGCTATAACAGTATGTGCTTGAGAAAGGCTAACAATGGCATGAACTGATTATGTATTTATTCATAATTCTAAGTGATTCCTTTCTAGCAGAGGTTCAATAGCTCAACAATGGATATTACAACCTAGCGTTGGTCTCTACTGTTTAACCTTCTGTATCGCATACTTCTAGTTGATAACAAAACCAATGTAAAATTGCTTCTCGCTACCAAGATCTGACAAAGGTCAAAAATTGTTTAATCGCGTTCCTGTGTCGCTTAAATTACCGTGATTTATCGGAAAAATAGTCCAGTATTGTTTCTCTCTTTTGAAGTGATTGAGCTTGCGATCGTTGTGAAACAATAGAGAAATCATATTCTCTCATATGGATATTATTTCGTGCATGTGTTGGCATTTATGAGGATACCCTACGTGGAATTTACAGTGTTTACATTAACATGTTTGTTATGCAGACAATAAGGACAATAAGGAAGGCAAATGTAAATGTATACAGAGGATTATTGTGATAGTGAAACAAATAATGCATGGAATTAGCGAACTTATTGTGCCGCCGACCATTGTCAGTGGATTTAAAAGGAGTAGGTCTAAGTGAAGATATAGAGCTGCTGTACGATAAAAGGATCTCTGGATAACGTCTGTATAGTACACATCTATTCTATTGTTAGGGAAAGTTGTGGTGACCCAATTATGAGAATAACATATGTTAAAAAGCTGTAGTCGATGAAGTAAATTTTAAACATTCGCTATATGTATACAATAGGTATTTTTGTATACCAGATTAGTAACAATAAAAAGACATAACATATACCATAATTTGTAAATGATAAATACACATATTCGTAAAAGTATAAGTTTGAAAATAAACCCTTGATATATTTTCTTCTTCAACACGGACTCTTAACAGGATTAAATTTGATGTCTACATGTAAATCCAAGGTTATCAACTTTCGATCTTTTCCTTATAGAGAACACTTCCGGTTCATTGAACGCTTATTTTGAATATACGCTCTTAGATTATTTCAAAAGTAAATATTATTTAAGGACCAGCAGAACACTCTTTAAAAGAACTCTGCACTGTAGTAATCTTGGGTCAACGCACCTGTAAAATGGACTACATTTGTAAGGAACGTGATTAATGACAAAGTGATATTTCGCTGTAAGTTAATCTTGTCATAGGATTGTCGTCAGAATCAACAGAATTTCAATATGAACATATTTTTGGTTCTGTCTGGAAATACTTCTATATCACAAAGTAGTGTGGGGAAGCTTTCATCCGTGGTCAAATGTCCGCTTACAACCAGGCGTTTGTCATTTCGATGTAAGATCACGTTCAATATGCTTTATGTTGCTTAATATAACTCTTCTTAACACATGAACGGTTTTCATTTCTATATAGATCTATAATATATGCATATTTAGTATTATCAAATATTGACAGGGACATTAATGGGTTCGCCTTATATCAAGTGTCAAATTATCTGAAAGTCAGGATGGACATATCGCCTTTTAACAATACTGCTAAACTTGTCAACCTATGTGCGAGATAACGGACAGTACCTCAATGTAGATTTTCAATGGTTGGACCAGACAAGTAGGAAGTTTTACATACATACAATATAAAGAAATTCCATAATGTTCCCTAAGGACTCTCATGGGCAATAACACATGAATTAGACATTTAAGTTAAGTTAAGAAAATTCAGCCTATATTGAAATATGGATTGATGTGTACATTGGTGATTGATAATCACCAACTCCATTGAGATATTCAACACAACGGCCCAGGAAATACCGTGATAACTTGAAGTCGGACCTTGAAACAATTTTTTAACAACCGAGAGTCACAGCATCAATGTGAATTTGAATACATATGTATCCTGCTTAGAGACATTGCGACAAAGGACGAAGTGTCATATAGTGTACAGTATAACGATATGGCGTTCCTCAGTAGAGAGGTGACGGATATAGTGGCTCGTGATATTAACCCCATCAAACTTCGACGACAGGAGACAGACATTGTTTCTAGAAGTGGATACGATCTTCTCGACAAACTCTCTCGTAGACGACAATATGCACGTTCTCATGTTAAACACAAAGCTCCACTTGTTGGTGTAGATAGCGAACGAACTTTCGTGGAGTCTCCTGAAATGGAAATTGCAGGATATGGGTGAGTATATATAAATCATAACAGCATATCACTTCCGCAGTACCAACATATTTTTATATAATCTGTGTGCTTCTATGTGACTGATGGATAAGTTGTTTCAAAATTCTAATAGGTATGCCTCCTCAGCGAGGAAAATCTTGTTGTCTATCAGTACAAATTCCAAACATCCTTTTTTTGGGATGTTCTGTTGGTATAATGGCAATGAAGTCTGGAATTTCTTAGCTAGGCGATTTGGTGTTGTAGATAGAGAGTTCGATGCCTGGGCAGGGCATGAGTCAAGAACTGTCTACCTTCGTTGATTATGTGACAATATCTAATACATATTGATATTTTCTGATTATAAAGTTTGAACAGGTTTTTTTATTTAGTTGTTCCCTTATATAGATAGACCTAAATACGTTACTGCTAACGAAGACGCCACGGCATCAGTAGTGAAACCCGCGTTCTGCTAATTTAGAGGGATGTATGTTGCCACCAATATTGTATGGAACTAACATAAAAGACGGATGATATCAAGAAATAAGATTCACATTTTGCCCTTGAATGAGAGAAAAATGGGTCATTCGAAAATAGGTCAAGTAGTAGAAAATTAAGGAGTCGGTGTTGATTTAAACGTTGTGTGTGTTGTACATTCTATGTTAATTACAATGAAGACAAGTTTAGTTATTCAGTGCTGCATGTTATGAATCTGTATAATTATCTAATGACACATTCGGGGATTTGATTCAGATGATTGGCAATTGTAAATCACTGTGTACAAATCTATGAAATCATACCGTGGGAGTATTTAATTAAATATTCTTCAGGGAAAATATTGCCTTATGGAAATGTAAATATAATCACACTACCATTCTACTAAATGAACAGATTTTAAATCGGCACAGCGGGTATTATTAACTAACTCAAATTATACGGACACATTTATTGAAAACTAATATAACTTTGTTGAATAAAACATGATACGAATCCATTTTATTGACAAATCTCACCCAATGTAAAATATCTAGTATGATATTTTATGACCAAATAACCGGTCTTTAGTTCGCGTGATTCTGCCGTCTATAGCGCTTTATCTACATAGTCTCATTGTGTTGAATACGGCATAAGTCGACCAGCGTATTATGTGATAAAAGAGAATAGCTTTGATAGAACCTCGTTAAATTCCGACAATTATGGTATATATACTGTCTGAGGCATTTTATCTGGTCTCTGAGACAGGTATCATTAATGTTTCATTATACTGAGTACATTTTACTGAGAAAGTGAAAAAGATTATTCTTTAACAGCTGTGCTGACATTGAAAAAACCTTTATAACCTGATCGTGGGTTATGCTATCTCATATTGTGTTATTTAAATGTCTTTTTATGCCAGATATGCACAAGTTTGTGAACATAATTGATAATACAGTTGCTTTAATATATTATGTAAAATTGCCTTAATATCAACAATTTGGTTTGATAAATGGACAAGTCTGAATGCAATTTATTTTATATGTACACTTAGAAATATATGTAATGTTTACGTTGTGTTTACTTATCGGAGACATATAATTTTGCTATCACAAAACACATTGGAACATACTGCAAACCACAATTAGAGAATCGTTCGCGATTTTGCACGTATATAATTTATGATGTATCTATAATTACTGCGTTATAACCAGTAATTAGTATCAGTATATAGTGACGGTGCAGAATACATTATGTTGGTCTGTTGGGTTGGTGTACAGTGTGGCAAGCTTCAACTGTTAAGCGTAGAGTGTAACACTCCTCGGCTGTTGAATGTAGCATGTGCCACTCTTCCGCTATTGGATGTAGAGTGTGACACTCTTCCACTGTTGGATGTAGGGGTTGGCACTCTTCGACAGTTGGGTGTTAAATGTGCCACTCTTGAACTCTTTGGTGTAAAATGTGCCACTCTTCAACGGCTGAGTGTAGAAAGTGACACTCTTGAACTCTTGGGTATAAAATGTGCCACTCTTAAATCTTGGGTGCAGACTGTGGCACTCGACGACTTATTGGTGCAGCGGGTGGCACGTTTCGACTGTTGGGTGTAGAGTGTAGCGATCTCCGACTGTTATAAGTAGAGTGTAGCACTATTCGTCTTTTGTATGCTGAGTGGGTCACTTTTCACTTGTTAGGTGTAAGGTGTGGTACCCTTTGGCTGTTGGGTATGGGGTGTGGCACCTATTGACTGTTTATTGACTGAGTTGACTTTGGCTCGCTTCGACTGTTTGGCTTATAGTGTGACACTCTTCGATTGTTTGATGTAGATAGTGGGATTCTTTTTCTGTTGGATGTCAACTGTGGTACTCGTCGAACGTTGAATAGAGATTGTGGCACTCTTCGACTAGTGTGTGTAGTGTTGCACGTTTCGTCAGTTAGGTGTAGAATGTAGCTCCTTTTGATTGGTGGGTAAAGCGTGATGCTTGCTTCGACTGTAGTGTGCGCAGCGTGACACTGTTAGACAATGGTGTCAAAGAAATGTTCGTTCAATGTCCGGCTTGATAACTTGCGTATCAAATGCGAACAATGAACACCAGAAAGACGCGGAATCCCAAGAAGGCACAAAATTCACTAAATCAGAGCGAAAATACAGTCCCAGGCAGATTAAATCTCAACTTACATATAATTCAAAACAGCAACATCATCTCATTGACAGGGAAAATTTTAAAAAGTTGAAATGGAAAACAACCTTTACAGTTGGTTAGTTTAGGAATACATCTGGAAACGCCGCTGCGGGCCAGTACTTCATAGGGACGAGGGGGCCATAAGCTCGGTCATCTATGACCAACTACTAAACAAAGCGTAGCCGAGTTGACAACAGTACATTGTTACCATCTGGTGTATTTTTGTCTATGATCTGTTTACCATCTCGTCACACTATTTTCGACCTTAGTGTACATAGGAGTACAGCCGAAAAAGTTGTTCGATTCCGTACCATCTCGTACACAACGTACATGTGCATTTGTGCTAGTACGCTCTATTTGTCTGATGAAGGTGACCATGTAACCATCAAAACGTCACATTCTAATTTTCTACTGGTTGTATTATAAGAACTTCTATTCTCTATAAACTGTAGTTTATGATACCAGGACCTTATCGTATAAGCGATTTTTTTGTTAGTTAGATGTTGAATACAATGATAAAAGAGGTAATCTTCTTTACTATTAGACTCTCATTAAGATATGTCACTGGCACTCACAAATGTTCCAGATATTTCATGTTTTCGGATTACAATTTTGTTCTTTTCGATAAAAATGTTGAGACTCGTGGGTACAATTATGCTAAGCATTACATTTTACATTATGTATATTGATGTATGAACATAGTCGTGCGCATGTAATGGAAGTGAGTGACTTGTTGATGCCTTCCTACATGAGGACAACTTATTGCCAAGATTCTGAACCCACAGCTCTTCGATCCTGGCGGATCTTTTTATCTTAAAAAAGTTTTGACACCTACGTTAATGTTTGTGATATAATAGTATATATACAATCACTATAAAGTTTATAGTCAGATGGTACTCTACCCTGTCATATTAAAAACCCAAAACTCAAAAACGCCGATTGATATTCTGAACAAATATACAAATATTGATTCATTAAACACTTTCCCACCTCTCCTCCATTTGGCTTGTTTGAATAGTAAGAGCAACTTTCCTACAACACTTTAAAACATGTTGACTGCGTGCTAAATTAAACATGGTAGGCAAACAAGCTATGACGGTTACGACATCACTTATAGTATGAAATTAATTTCTACTCTGTCAAAACAAATATTGATTTATCTGGCACTTGACGGGTAATACTTGGCTTGTTTAAAGTTTTGTTTTCTAGCGGTAAAGAGCTATGATAACATGCATATCTACAGTACAGACAAGTAAGACTAAATGTGTATATTTGAACACTTAAATCTACCATATCATCACTGTTAACTTTTTGTACGGATTTTACATATGTGTATGAATATTTCCCACGTTTTTGATGTAACATAAAGTGAGTTTATATCCAGGTAAGAGGAAACACCTGGTACTTACATAAGACTCCAGTTTATTCCTTTACTTTTATGATGAAAAAGATGAAAAAAGGTCATTGAAAAATATCGACTTTGGACAGAAAATCTTAAACCACAGTATTTCGAGACATGCAAGAAACGCAATACTCTGGAGAGGTTTCAAAGTAGCTATCATGATATTATTTAGAAATATTGTAATATTATGTGCGATTAAGTTTAGCTTAACTATCGCATATGTATATAACTATAGTGTTAATTAAGGAACGTGTTATTCTCTATGTAAAATTAAATCCTATGCAGTGATTACAAACTTTGCCGAAAAATCATACAATATAAAAAACAACTTTGAGATTAAGTACAATCTCGTGTATGGTAATATAATCTTATGTGTTCTTTTCTAACTGGAGTTTAGTGATTGAGCAATCGTCAAATGTTCGTGCACAATGTTTACACAATTCCCACAGCATGGCAAATGTTATCTAAACTATTCTAAATTATTGATAAATGATCGATGTACCTGTGTTTTTACTTAAGTGTTTACCGTTATATTGACGAATTCAATTCCCATGAAGTTTGATAAATCGACAAATTAACCCTAGGCTTAACATGGTACCCGTAATACTCACAGCAAGTACACATCACGAACCTGACACGATATCATTTCGATCTCTTCCCTTTTTTAATTAAAGTATGTGTTGTGTGATATATGCCTGCAGTGATATAACATTCTCACTGTTGGACAGTGATCCTATATTTAAATAGATAACTGTCTGTTGTTTATGGGCTCTCTGGCAATTACAATGTTTCCACAGGTCTAAGTGAAAGCGTATTCTTTGGGCTACATAGGAACTGTGATAACGTCAGCGTTTATTTTATGTTGGAACTGATGTGACAGTATAGGATAAAGAAATATTAAGGAAACATGATCAGTGTGATTTTATATAAACTTCATTTATCTTATGACAATTGCAAAAAAAGCTAAC